TTCTATGCTTTATATTCTTTCTATGTGTATGACACATCAGTATCTCCTATCCTCTGAGTTTTTGTTAAACATTTAGGTTGATTTACCACTTTGCCTGATTCAATCACCACGGTTGAACAAGATTACATGATAGAATACAAGAGCATGGGCTTTGAATTGCTTGGTTTCAAATCTTGGTAAGCATGTGTGTAACCTTGAGCAAAGTTTGGCAACTCTAGTTTCCTCATTTGTAATAACTGTTCTCTCTCTATTCAGAATTTCCCTCCTACCTTCCCTCTCTGTCATCAGTTGCCTCTGTTATTTCAGTCTCCAAGATTATTTAAATTCCTTCTGTGACTATGGCAGACATTGCTACTCAGTCATGGCACTATCTGCCATTGAGCCTGGACGTGGGCAGGAAATTATTTGCCACTTCTTAATCACAGTTAGTTGTCAGGCACCATCAGCTCGGTCTTTTATCCTTCCTTCATTCCTTACCCTCATAACTTTATCCCATAACCTTTCAAATTTCTTCTGTTCCAGCTCCAGAGCTGCACTAATATGGCAGCCACGAGCCATGTGGCTCCTGAGCACGTGAAATGCAGCTAATATGGGCTGGAATGTGCTAGAACTATAATTTGTATACCTGACCTCAAAGATTTAATATGGAAAAAAGAATGTAAAATATCTCAATATTTTTATAATGATTATATGCTGAAATGATAGTTTTCTGATATATTAGTGTAAATTAAATATATTTTAAAAATTGTATCTGTGATGTGCATTAAATTTCTTTTGGACAGTGCTGCTGTAGACTTTAGACAATACCACTAAATTATTCTTCCTAAAAATATCACTCTCATCTTGCCATTCCTATTTCAGACCAAGTTTTTCACCATGTCAGACTTTCTTTTTTTTTTAAACATTTTATTTATTTATTTGACAGAGACACAGCGAGAGAAGGAACACAAGCAGGGGGAGTAGGAAAGGGAGAAGCAAGCTCCCCGCTGCTGAGCAGGGAGCCCGATGCAGGGCTCGATCCCAGGACCCTGGGATCATGACCTGAGCCGAAGGCAGACGCTTAACAACTGAGCCACCCAGGCACCCCCATTTCAGACTTTCTAAAGGCTCTCAGTAGTATGATCTCAACCTACATATCCTCTTGTATTTTACATTATTTTTCATTACCACTAGGCTGGTTCTCTGGATATCTAAGAACACATCATGTTCATGCTCATCTTAATGCCTTTGTTCAGGTTGTACTTCCTACCTAGAGTTGCTCTGGTCTCCCCCTTTCCCTTATCAAATAACACCAAAGCTGACCACTTCCATAAAGCATTTTATTTGTACCTTGAGCTAGCATTCTACTTCATTATCTGTTGATTTTTGTATACGTTAAATCTCAGCCTTCCAACTGGACAATGTCTTTGATGGCAATACTCATGTCTGTATAATTTAGCAACCTCTGCTGTATGTGTATTGCTAGCATTTAGTTGTTCTCAGTGTATCCATAGCATTGTTTGAATTGGGTCTTGAAAAAATGGATAGCAGGTGGATCATACAGAGAGATGAAAAAGGAAAATGAAAGGCAATGATGATAAGGAAAGGGAATAATATTGACCTTATTGACCAATAAGATTTACCATGTTTATTCATTTGGTTCATTTGTCCTTTGTGTCAAGGGGCCCCATGTGGGCCTCAGGTAATAAAACTTTATCTCATTTGTACCCTTTCACACAACTTAAACAGGAATTCCAACCTGTTTCCAATCTTCTTAAAGAATCATTTAGAGGGGGACTCCTGGGTGGCTCAGTCGGTTGAGCATCTGCCTTTGGTTCAGGTCATGATCCTGGGGTCCTGGGGTCGAGTCCCACATCAGGCTCCTTACTCAGTGGGGAGCCTGCTTCTCCCTCTACCTGCCACTCCCCCTGCTTTTGCTCACTCTCTCTCTGACAAATAAATGAATAAAATCTTGTTTAAAAAAATAATTCAGAGGATTATAGGAAAAGTTTTAGACCTATGATGATTCTGTTTTTGACTTTTACAAAGAAATTGTTTTCCCAAGGATGATAAAGTGGTGTCCTCTCAAATGATTGTTTTTTAATCTGGTAAGTTTTCATATTTGCCTCTCACCAGTTCCTTACCATGAAAATCATTCTTGCCACATTAAAATAATTCTGTGCTGTATTAGAACCTGAAACATAATCTTGATTTAGTGACTGTTTTTAAGTCTTCAAATTCTGGATATAATATAATTGCTTCACGATATTTAAAAATTGTCTTATCACATCCAGGTTTCTCAGCGACATAGGCACTTTCCCTTTAAACATATTTCCTTTATTTTAATACCTCTCTCTCTCAGCTCCTCCTGAGTGTAATTTCCCATGATTTAAAAGAAGTACTCATTACAGAATGAAAATCTTCTTAACTGATGAACTCAGACAAAAACTACATTTGGCAGATGCCCAAGATGTTCCAAATACTTCTACCAGCTAAAATGACATGTGGTCGCTTTCTCATGGCTTGAAGATGAGCAGCATTCTTTACTTTTCCAGCTGAATCCAATAGCAGAATCATCTTCCACAATAAGGAATGACGTAATTAAAGTGCCAGTGCAATGACTGATTTCACTCCTGCTTTTAGTGAATTTGCCTTGCTGTTATTTGCCATAACTGGAGCCTAGGCCTTGTTGAAGGCTTAATCAGGAAATGTGATGCAGAGGTTGTGCTGCTGTGCTTTCTGTTGTTGCCTTACAGGGGTTATACTTGAAATGCATTGAGCAAAATGTTATTAATAGGGCTGAAGGTTTATCCTTCCTGAGCTCACCAAACTTATTCCCATGTTGATTATAAGTTGATGATGCACAGGCTTCTTGGGGCAGCCCCGCTTCAGTTTACGTTAGACAATCAGTACACACACTGGTGTGTTTTCCAGTGGCCAGTGCCAACAAACTGGTAAATGAGTATTTGTGAAATTTGCTATTTTTAATAAAGTGATTGTTTTAAATTAGTCTTTATTGTTTTATTTTGAAGAAACCTGTAGTCTTCAATCTGGGAATACAAGAATTCAATCCTCAAAAGTACACTGTGTTTATAAAATTTTGGGTTCTGTAATTTTCTTCCAGGTTTTGCACCTTGTGCACATTTCAGTGTTGGTGTCAGTCATGAAAAGAGCATGGGCTTTAAAGTCAGACCTTGATTTGAATCCCCATCCTGCCCTTTAGCTTTCTATTCATGCACATTTACTTCTTTGGGTTTAACTTTTGTTTTTCATCCAGAAAATGAAATTAATAACCAGCTCGTAGTAGTAGTGATTATGAGGAGAAAGGAGAAAAGTATAAGTTGCTTATCACAACAGCTAACACCAACAGTGTACAGCAAACATTAGTTTAATTTCCCATTTTACACAGCTTTTTTGAAATAATTAACTCATACCCCATAAAATACACCTTTTAAAGTGTACAGCTCAGTGGTTTTTACTGGATTCACAGTTGTGCACCTGTCACCATAATCTAATTGTAGAACATTTTCCTCACTTCCATCTTTCCAAAATGAAACCCATTGGCAGTCACTCCGCATTTCTCAAACCCCCCAGCCATTGGCAACCAGTAATCTACTTGCTGTCTATGGGTTTGCCCATTCTGGACATTTTGTATAAATGGAATCACACATGATTTTTTATGATTGGCTTCTTTTACTTAATATTTTCAAGGTTTCAGGGTTTATCCGTGTTGTAGCATGGCTCAGTACTTCATTCATTTTCATGACCAGATCATACCCCATTGTGTGGATATGCCACATTTTGTTTATTCAATCATACCTCAGTTGCCTTCACATTTTAGAAGAGGCCCATGCTTCTTCCTTGTTTCCAGGATAGAGAAACAAGCATCTAATTTGGTGGGAGGCTGAAACCCATTGAAAGATATAAATCTCGATTTTAGTAATTTTTGGCATTCTGAGTTCAAAGAATTTTGACCAACTTATCTAATGGGTCTTTTTGATACCCCTTTTAAAAATGAGAAAATTAGCAGAACATTAAATACAACCTTCCAAACTTTTCACTTGGGTTGAGAGGACAGGGATTCCAGGGTGGGGAAACAGCATTCTAGAACCCAACAGAGCAAAAGGAAATTTTGCCATGTGACATGTTTTTCTTGGATGGGTCCTGAGACAGAGTAAAGCAAAAGCTGTTTCCTGTGGATTAGTGACAGAGCATCAGATTGACCTTGTTTATTCATTTGGTTCATTTGTCCTTTGTGTCAAGGGGCCCCATGTGGGCCTCAGGTAATAAAACTTTAGTTTATCTCATTTGTACCCTTTCACACAACTTAAACATATTAAAGGCAACAGAAAAAAAAAAAAGGTGCCTGAATTAAAATAAAACTTTTAGAAGAGGGGCACCTCGGTGGCTCAGTCGGTCAGGGGGCAGTCCGCTTCTCCCTCTCCCTCTGCTCCTGCACTCTCTCTCTCTCTCTCAAATAAATAAAATCTTTAAAAAAAAAACTTTTAGAATAAAATTTATTATGTAGATGTTGTATACTCCTTGTAGACAAATTTTAATGACGGATGATTAAAAAGAAAAATACTACCAGAGCAAACCATTTATCCTTTTTTTGTGTTACTTCCAGATCCCTTAAACTTGTTTACTTTGATTTTGGTTCCTCCTGCAGAACGCTAAAATTGTTAACAAGTATCAAAATAGTCCGAGGATTTGCTGAAGATAAACCCCACCTTTCCCATCACAGGGCTTTAATATTGCTGGCTTCAGTGTCCCATCATCTCCTCTTGGCTGGGGTCCCGCTGCCTGGCGTCGGCCCCTCTGCTCGAAGCCCTCAGGGGTCCCACCCTAGGCTCCCTGGGGGACGGCGAAGGAGCCGGGACCCCAGCCTGGCGGGAGACCGGCTGCTGGGCCCTGCGGCGGGGGAGGCGGGGGAGGCGCGCGCGGGTCCCGCAGTCCCGACGCCGCCGGCGCTGATGCACGGGTCTGCGGGGGAGGGGTTGTTGTCCGTCCCCATGGAGACCGCGCCCCGCTGCGGCCGCGTGCTCAAAGCCCTGCATTTCACTCGGCGGTCCGAAGAGGAGGCAGCCGCTCCAGGCCCGGCCCCTCGGCCACCTCCGGGAGGTAAAGCCCTTGCTTCTGGGCCGCGCATCTTTTGCTTGGGACCCCATGGACGCAGCGCCCGGGCCGGCTTAGCTTCCCCACGCAAGCCCGGAAGACCCTGAGCCGCACTGAGGCGGGCACTGCCATTCCGCCCCCCCCGCCCCCACGCCACATGACCTTGAGAACCTCCGCAGCCCCACAATTATCCAAAAAACCCTGCCTGCAGTGGCTCTGCGGAGAAACAAAATCAGTCTGCGCAGGTTTGAGTTGGGCGGTGGCAAGGCAACTGAACCTCCTCCAGAGCATTCATTAGGGATAGAAATGAAGTTATTGAGCACTTTGGGAAACACGGATTTTCATTCGACCCCAGACTGGCTCACACCAGCTCCTTCCCTCTTTCTGCCAGTTCTCACCCTCTTTCCAACCATGGAGTCCCAGCGGTGTGGGGAGTGGGGAGGGGGGAGGGGGGAGGGGGGAGTGGGGAGGGGGGGCGGGGGGCGGGGAGGGGGGAGGGGGGCGGGGAGGGGGGGCGCGGGGCGTGAAGGGGAACTACAGACCTGCGGTGAATACGGGCCCTGGTTAGGGTTGTGTCGCTCTAGGAGTTATTACTATGCTAAGATTTGATGAACAGAACAAATAATTAAAGACATCTTTTTTTCTATATCTTTCTTTTTAAAACTCATGCTGCGCTTATTAATAATTCTTACCATAAATATCAGAACAGAATATCCTGACATCATCTGTATCAAAGTTCAGCACAACCCAGGCCACTGTTTTCAGGCCCATCTTGGCATTTGTGCACCTGGGGAACCTCAAAATTCATGCTCTAAAACTTATTTCAGAAGGAGAAAGTAGGGATTAGGGACTTGAAAGTTTTAGAACAGCCCTGTTTATTTTTCCTGAACGAGTTTAAATAGCTGCTTCTTGTTGCAGCTCTAATTTTATAGTTTTACTTGTCAGTCAGCCAGTCCAGCATTTGATCATGTCCAGTTTGGGCTCACACCATGGCATTTCTTACACCTCCTGTACTATCAATAGTGCAGATTTCCCCAAAACATGCCATCACTTCCACTATCCATTACTTATTTGTGCATTAAAAAAAAATTATAGGCCAGTTCATGTTTAAAATAAGTCATGTTTCTACAGGTCCTGAATACAGACATTTAACTTATCGGAACTAGTCTTTTATTTGTTTTTCACTAATCACACAAATTTTTCTTATACTCTGGTTCTTTTTTGCAATCTTTAGAACCAGATAATTTTATAAAGATTTTACTGATTTATTTATTTGAAAAAGAGAGAATCTCAAGCAGACCCAAGCTAGTCCCAGCCCACCCAGGTACCCCCCAGATAACTCTTGAAAGGCATATTTAAGGGGTTAAACTGGGGTTTCTTCCTTCACTCCTAGTAGTTTATTCCTTCTTCATGCTGCAAGAGGAAGACTTTCTATAGAATTTTTTTTCAGTGCATAGAATCTAAAAGTTTCTCAGGGAAGTAATTGTCAGGTACATAATTTAAAAGTTTGACTTTGCATAGCCTCTGAAATGTTGAAAATATAGAACATGCTTAAGGGATTAAACTGTAGAGAATAAATGAATCATGGTACAACTTGCATGTGTGGATCATAAGAGAACACAAATGTAGGTACCTCTGTGGCAGGGAACAATGTTTTGTTTCTAATTTCCCTTCAAGTCGTTTTGTCTCCTACCGTGGAGCAGGACTAGCCTAATTTACGTGTCTCCACCTGTGTAAGAAATCACCTGAGGAAACAGTTAATGACAGTAGGATTCTGCTTTAACCCAGTGACAATTTAGCTCTCTCTATGGACTGGCAATTGCCCAGCCATCTCAACCCTCAAACTGGTTTTGGTTGTCACACAATAGGCTCCTCCCCACCTCGCCCACCGCCCCCCCTTTTTTATTTTTGCTAAGCAAAGAAGAGCTAGTGTCAGTTGCTGATTTCCTCAATAGCCAGTTGTGTGGTCAGCCATGCAAAAGAAATTGTATTTCCAAATTAACCCATAGCAGTCATACATCCAATTTAAGTTACACTCACTCTTTAGGGAGGATCCAGTATAATTTTTAAACTTGATAACTAATTATTCCCTGTCTGACCTCAGATGATTTTCTTTAGCCTGCTTTTCTCCTCTGTAATCTAACTCCCAGGGTGAAGGTGAGGAGTGAAGGAGCTAGTGTGTGGGGAAGTGATTTACTAGCACAGTGCAGGTCAGAGTAACCACTCAAACACAAATTAAGAGAAGTACAGCATTTATTACGTGGCTCCCTCCCCACTTTGATTTTGTAACAGTATGTATGTTAGATCTAGTTCTGTTAGCAATAGATCTAGTTCTAAATGAGAAGAACCACAGATTGGGGTCTCCTACTTCATTCCCTTCTTGGAACACACTTCAGAAACATTTAGAGCCCTTGTTTTCCAGGGTCATGTAAGAAAGAGGTATCTGGGGCGCCTGGGTGGCTCAGCTGGTTGAGCGACTGCCTTCGGCTCAGGTCATGATCCTGGAGTCCCGGGATCGAGTCCTGCATCGGGCTCCCTGCTCGGCAGGGAGTCTGCTTCTCCCTCTGACCCTCCCCACTCTCATGCTCTCTCTATCTCATTCTCTCTCTCAAATAAATAAAAAAAAAAAGAAAAGAAAGAGGTATCTATCTAGTTGGTGTCACCCACACTGGGGCCTCAATTCAGTGGACACCTGGGCCATAAGCAAGGCAGCGGCTGGACCTTTACTTTTCTAGGTGTGACTCGCTGCTTTGTGTAAGAACAAGAGAAATCCTAAATGATCAAGGAAGAACTTCATGGTATAGTATTTTGGCTCTTGGAGAAAGGGCACAGGGAAAAGATGAAGAATGGATGAGAATTTGGTTTTGTACACTTAGGTTTTGAATTGCTCTTGGTAATAGAAGATATTGGGGACCACCATATTGTAAACATAGTTCACAAGAAGTATTCTTGCCCCAGAATTCACATCCCAAATGAGCACCCTAAAATACTTCCCTTTCCCCCGATTTGCTGATGTTGTGAAAGAATAACCTGTCAGATATACGTATTAATTCAGTTCTAAGGTTATTTTATCATCCACCTCATTTAATATCATGATGGAAATTACTAATAAGATCTACACAAGTTGATAGTCACAGTTTTGACAAAGGTGTCAAATCCTAATAATCAGTGAAGGAATCTGGCTTTTTCTTAGCTTGTAACTCGCTTTTCAGCCCTTGAACTTGGAAAATTAGGGAGTGTGAACAATTACTCATCTACTCATTCAACAAATACTTGCCAAGTGCCAAATCAATGCAGGCATTATGTGGTAGGCAGGTTCTAAAATGGCTCCCAATGACTCCAGCTTCCTGATATCCATGCCCTTGTGAATCCCCTCCCCTTGAGTGTGGGCTAGACTTGTTTCTAATGCAGGGGTTGCCAAACTTTTTCTGTAAAGGGTCAGGTAGTAAATATTTTTGGCTTTGTGGGCTATATGGTCTCTCCCTAATTACTCAATTCTTCCTGTTACAGTATAAAAGTAACCATAGACAATATGTAAATAAATGTGATTAGCTGTATTCCAATTATTTACAAAAGTGGTTGGCAGGCTGAATATGGGCTGCCAGCCACATGTGCTGACCTATGTTCTGACTAATCAAAAAGTGATGGTGTAATGCTTCTGAGATTATGTTACACAAAGAGTCCAACTTCCATCTTGCCTGCCCTGTCTTGCCGTTTCACTTGTTCACCTGGGTGGAAACCAGCTGCCATTTTATAAGCTAATAAGTTATGAAGCTCACATGGGAGGGAATCCTCCAGCCAACAGCCTGCAAGGAACTGGGATCCTGTTCCAGTAGTCTGGAACTGAATCTTGCCAACAACCACTTACATGAGTCTTGAAGTGAATCCTTCCCCGGTCCAACTTTTGGATGACCATAACCCCAACTGAAACTTGGTTGTCAGACTGTGAGCCAACGGACCCAGTCAAGCCATGCCTTGACTCCTGACACAGAAACTGTGGAATAATAAATGTTTGTTATTTTAAGCCACTAAGTTTTGGGACTCTTTGTTACACAGCATTAGATAACCACCATGATAACCATATCACATAGCCAATACACATTATGATAGGCTCCTGTAAGAATGAACAAGCGGAATGCTGCTTATTATTTCCTCCTCTTAGAGATTCACAATGAGTATCAACATATTAAGGTTTCCAAAACATCTTATAAAAAAGAAACTTGTTTAATTTTGTTCAATCAATCATTTCCTAAGCATATTTAACCATGGATCCTGTTTTTCTGAGAAGTGCCTATTAATATTTTATGGAGCTACTATTTAGAGAAATATAAAATGCTGGAATATGAAAAAAAATCATTCAATTTAAAGAAGTAGTGCTTGCCAACATGCCATTTCTCCCTGGGTTGAATAACTAATCAGCAAAATTGACATCTTAGAAGAATGCAAATAATCTCGTGGAAATTTATATCCCTATCTATCTCTGTATTTGTATCTCTATCTCTATATTTATATCTCTATCTATATATGATGTACTGTATTCAGATATTTAAGCCCACCAGCAGAGACAGTGACTATTCTTTCTGTAATGTTCTGCTCATTATGTAACTCAGTAATCCTTTAACACAGAGGATAATAACACTTTTAAGAACTTGCTAAATCAAAACTCCTTATGTTGGCTCTTGGAGGGATTTCACATAACAACAGCTGGGCATCTTAGGAAACTAAGGATTTGTTTTGATTTAATGTTGATTCAGAAGGAGGTATTTAATTTCCCACATTGCCATGAGGTTTTTATCTGAACAACACATTATTATACTGTAGTTTGCCAAGGCACAGCATTTCATTGCTTTGCTTTACACATGAGGAAACTGAGGCTCAGAGGCTAAATTATTTGTAAAGCTTCACTTGGGGGAAAGGAGAGCCAGAGCAGGGATCCAAATTCAGCGTTGTCATGCTACTCTCTGTAATATTTCCAAAATTATTCCGGGGTGCCTGGGTGCCTCAGTTGGTTAAGCATCCAACTCTTGATTTCGGCTCATGATCTCAGGGTTGTGGGATCGAGCCCCGGGTCAGGGTCCCACCTCAGGGAGAGTCTGCTTGAGATTCTCTCTCTCCCTCTCCATCTGCCCCTCCCCCGCTCTCTCTCTCTCTCTCTCTCTCTCTAAAATAAATAAATAAAATCTTAAAAATAAAATAAAATAGGGGCGCCTGGGTGGCTCAGTTGGTTAAGCGACTGCCTTCGGCTCAGGTCATGATCCTGGAGTCGCGGGATCGAGTCCCGCATCGGGCTCCCTGCTCGGCGGGGGGGTCTGCTTCTCCCTCTGACCCTCCCCCCTCTCATGTGCTCTCTCTCTCATTCTCTCTCAAATAAATAAATAAAATCTTTTTAAAAAAATAAAATAAAATAAAATAGTTCCTAATCTGGTACATGCCTTTCCAACATATTCATTTTTAAAACACGCTTTCATCTCTCTCAAGTGTGGTAAGAATAGAGGACCTGCAAATGTTTGTCTTATTCTCAAAATCTTCTGGCTCCACCATAAAATTTCTTCAGCTACTCTGGGCCACATTGTTCTCTCTCTTCTTGGAATTTATAGCAAAAGAGGATTGCTTGGAAACTGAGACATTTCTGATGCTGGAATCCCAGCTAGAATTTCACCGACAAGTGGTCATCCAATTCGTGTTTTAATATCACTGGTAATGGACATAGCCTCCTGAGATAGCTAACGCCACTGAAGTGATTATTTTCCCACTTAGGATGATCCAAAATCTTGTCTCTCTGACATCATACATTGTTGTTAATTTTGTCTTCTGGGGATTCACAAACCATGTGTAATTGATTTTATACATAAAAAGCCTTCAGATAGTTGATGTGTGTGTGTACAGTGTGGGAAAGAGGTCCAATTTCTTCTTTTTTTAAACAGATGCTCTGTTTTCTATAAATGGAAAAATCCATCTCTTCTTTGACTTATGCTCAACAAGTACCCATGTATACAAGAGTCTATTTTGGACTTTCTTCCATTCCCCTGGATTAGATATTTGTCTCCATAATAATGCCACGTCATGTTGTTGCTCCAGCTTTATAGTGAGTTTTTATATCTAGAAACACATCTCCCTCCCTGGTTCTTCCAGACTGACCTGACTATTTTTGGCCCTTTAAAACTTCCATAAATATCTTAGAATCAGTTTTTCAAGTTACACACACGTACCACAATATCTCTTAGGATTTTTTTTTATTGAAATTGCATTGAATTTGTGGATCTGTTTGAGGAAATTAATCTCTTCATTCTGAATTCTCTAATTCATGAATAAAACATATCTCTCCATTTATTTAGGTTCTTTAGAAATGTTCAAGAAAATTTTATAATTTTAACTTTTTTTTTTTTTTAGTAGAGATTGGTCCTTGAACTCACGACCCTGAGATGACTAATATATTTGGCTGAGCTGAAATCAAGTGTTGTGCTTAGCCAGCTGAGCCACCCAGGCCCCCCAAATTTTATAATTTTACTCATAAAGTTTGTACTTTTATTTTTTTCTAGATACTTAATAGCGTTTGGTGTTTTATAAGTGATATCTTTTTTCCTTTTGAGAGAGAGAGCAAAAGCGAGTTTGGGGGGAGGGGCAGAGAGAGAGAGAGAGAGAAAGAGAGAATCTTAAGCAAGCTCCATGCCCAGCACAGAGCCAAGGCAGGGCTCAATCTCACAACACTGAGATCATGACCTGAGCCAAAATCAAGAGTTGGATGCTCAATTGATTGAGCTACCCAGGTGCCCCAATAAATGATATCCTTTTTTAAAGCTTCTTGATCAAAATAGAAGATGTAGAAAAATATGCAAATCATAAGTGTAGAATTCAATGAATCGTAAAGTGAACTCTTCTGGGTTCCTACTGCTAGATCAGGACCTGTATCCCAGAGTCACGTCTCATGTCCCTCCCAGTCATACCCTCTCTTTCCTCCCCAAGGGTAACACTATCTTGACTTCTAACGCTGTCATGTAGGACTTTGTGTAAATTAAACCATATAAAATGTAGTCCATTATTTCCAGCTTCTTTGTTTAATGTCTTATGTGTGTGATTCACACATATTGTTGTGTGTAGTGGCAGATTGTTCATTGATATCCAGCATTCTAGCACATGGATATATGACAATATATTTATCCATTCGGCTGCTGGTGAATGATTGCACTGTTTCCAGTTTAGAGCTATCCAATGTAACTGTGAATGTGCTTGTGGATATATTTCGTCCACATGTTCATGTTTTTCTGTTGAATCAATTGTATGCACATGTTCAACTTTAGCAAATAATGCCAAACCATTTTTCAAAGTACTTACACCAATTTGCATATTCACCAGCTGTATGTGACTATTCTGGATGCTCACCAGCACATGGCTCTGTCGGTCTGTGGATAACAAATTCTAGGTAGCTTGAAACAGAAATCATTATCTTTCATGATTCTTTGGGTTTTCTGGCCTCACCTGGACATTTTTTCTGCTGCCTGTTATAGTCTGGGGTCATTCATATGGTTGTAGTCACTTGGGAGCTCAGTTGGAACAGAATACTCAAGATGGTGTCATTCACACATCTGGTGCTTTGACTGGGTTGGCTGAAACAGCTTTGGGCTGGCTCAACCTCTGTTTCTCCATATGGTCTCTCATTATGCTATAATCTAGCCCATGCTTATTTACATGGCTGCTACATCCTAAGACTACAAAAAGACAAACTGCAAATCTTCTTAAGGCTTAGGCCCAGAAGTCACACATCTTCACTTTATCAACATCCTTTGGTTAAAACCATGAGCAACTGAATCCTGCTAATAACCACATGAAAGAGCTTCAAATCCTTCAAATGAGCTTGGAGTCCTAGCCAACATCTTGACTGCAGCCTTATGAGAAACTCTGAAGCAGAAGTACCTGTTATGGCCTTAATTGGGTTCCCCCCCCCCCAAATTTCATGTTGAAGCCCTAACCTCCAATGTAACCATATTTGGAGACAGAGTCTATAAAGAGGTAATGAAAGTTAAGTGAGGTTATAAGGGTGGGACCTCAGTCCAATAGGACTGATATTTTTATAAGGAGAGGAAGAGACACGAAAGATCTCTCTCTCTACCCCCCCACCCATCCCACCTGGTTTGTGCACAGAAGAAAGGCCTTGTAAGAACACAGAGAGAAGGTGGTTGTGGACAAGCCAGGCAGAGAGGTCCCACCAGACCCCAGCCCTGACAGCACCTTGATCTTGGACTTTTAGCTTCCAGAATTGTGAGAAAATAAATTTTTGTGGTTCAAGGCACTCAGTTTGTGATATTTAGTTATGGCAGCCCTAGCGGACTGATTAGGTACTCCACTATGCTATGCATAGATTCCTGACCCACGGGAACTCCGAGATAATAAGGTTTTTTTTTTTGTTTTGTGCTATTAAATTTTGGGATCATTTGTTACACAGCAATGGATGACTAATACATCAGCCTAGGTTTGTTCTCTATGTCCTCTTTGTGTCCTAAAAAGATAGGCAGGTGGAGTGCCCTTTTTAAGCCCTTCAGATTATTGCTTTCCAGGGAAGAAAAAGTCAGTATTCCTGGCTGGTAAAGAATCGTTCCAATTTCTGAGTCATTTTCCCAGCAAAGTGAAAAACAACTCTGGTTTAGATTCATATTTGGGTGCCAACAGATGAGGACAGAGTAAATTGCAATGACTTGGAGTTCATGAACTCCCTGTGCATATTTGTATGGATTATCCTCCATGGAGATGTATATATATGATTTGCTGTAATTTTATCTCTATAAATATAGAGATGTAAATGAATGGCTGCAATTATATAATTCCTATAAGGACAACATTAATATACTGGATATTTCTAGGTGATCTTCATTAAGCATCTATTGAAATGAACCTATATTTCTTAGGGCTGGAAGAAAATAATTTGCTGAGATGTCAGCTGGGGATTCTTCTAGAAAAACCTTGGAAATGGAGTGCTTCCACACAAGATTCAGTGCCTGGACACCTTTCAGCAACAAATCATTAAATAGACAGGTAAATTACATGCTCTAGAACAAAACAAGTTTAATTTGTAAGGTCAATTTTACTGTGATATATTGGGTCTCATGTTGCCATATAACACAACAACGAAACCTCTAAAGAATTTAGTTTTGGAGTCACTTCAAACAAAAATAAACCAGCATTTGTCTGCCCCCCAAACAGTCTCTTCTCACCCCAGTCTCCAACTCCTACTTTATGGGGAGACTCAAGGTCTGCCTCCCTTTTCCTCTGTACCTCCAGGGACAAAATAGAAACCTCCAGAATACAGAGTATGCTGGGGGAGGAGACAAGGGGAGGTGCTTTTGGTGGTGCTTGGTGTGGAGAGTATTAATGTGTGATTAATTCTCTGCATATTTCTTTAATTCTCTCTTCCTTCCCATGCCAACAGTTCAGTTTGATGGCCTGGGGATGCCCACTCTTTTGAAATGTAGTCAGTAAGTAGTCACTGAATGGCTTAAGCTTAGGCAGCTCTGCCAGCCCTTAATGGAGAAGGCCCACAGCGCTTGCGTGGTTCAGGCCTGTTCCCAAGGGAAGGAGACTAGCCGGGCTAGGGCCCAAGCCTGACCTAGTAAGAAAGACAGTGGGTTTGTATATGTCATCTGAGCAAAGCTGGACTGAAACCCAGGTTTGGGGGGACCCTGGTCCTTGGTGTATCTATTCCTTAGAGACATGTCTAACAATGGCTACTTAGCAATATTTATTGACTTTGGTTTTGGTGGGAACTATGAAGATGTAGGACCATGGGTTAGTAAAATCATACCTACTTCAAATGGTCCTGTTTTCACAATTCAAGTGTAGCCTGTATGTGTTTTCAAGATGAAATGTTTGGAATCTGTTTCCCCAGGCCACATTCGTTTAAGTAGAAACAAGAGCCAGGATTCATTACCTCTTTGTTTTCCAAAGGGGCCCTCCTAAGGCCCCACTGTAATCATATCCCCTGGCCAGCCTTTCCCACCAGCCCACCCAACAAGCCTGGGCTTGTCTCTATCCCCAGATAAAAGCAGCTTAAGCTGAGGGAAGAGACCCCTACTACGTAGTGAAAAGTGCTTTGTGAACTGTAACGTGCTGTGCAAATATTAGCTGTGAGGTTGCGAGATTGCTGAAGGATTGGTTAGCAACTAAGAATAGACTGAACTCTACAGGAAAATGATATTTTCTCCCCTTTACAGCTCTTTCAGGAAAGAGTTGCTCTTATAAGTCATTGGTTTGACCTCTGGACAAGCAAGCAACGTCAAGAATTCTTATTCACGATTTTTTTACGATGCACCAAATCACAGTTAAGGTAAATGTAGCCTAAGGATGCAATTATCATTGGTTCTTAAAGGAAATAAAATATAGTAAAATGTTTATATAACATTCTAGGGTTTCTTCCCCCCCCCCCCCCAAGAGGAACAAATAAAACAATTGGTATTTTAAGGTTTATAAACAGAATCTTCTAGTGCTGCTTCCTCCTTGAGGATGAAACAGAACCTTGGGGGCTTTAACACCTTCCTACCATAGTGGGATGTTTGGTTTTTGCAAACCTCAGAAGCTTCAGCCAGTGAATTTTTAACATTCCCTTAGTATATTGGATTCTCCTCAGAACCATCAGACAGATGGACAATATATTTCAAGTAGCTATCTGGCGCATAGGCAGTCCATAAATAATTGTTACACGAATGGATGGATCTGAAAAGTACCCAAGGAATGACCATGGTTGCAACATTAGGAATATGCACAAGACTTGTTTGACGGTGGCCATGATTGCCAGTGGGTCCTGTTCTTATTCTTACCGTGGCCTCCTAGAGTGTCTGTCATTTGCTTTCAAATACTCCAGCAGAAATGGTGTGCTATTTGAAAGTGTTAGTTGAAATTGCATGCAAGAACAGCTAGTGTTTTGATCATGAATTAATACTCCAAGGGTGGTTAGCTAGCATTGTGTTGGAAAGGTCACAACGTCTCAGTTATTACAAGATACTTTGCTAATGAGCATAGCAAATATCAGACATTAGTTATTATCAAAACAGCCAGTAACTCGTTCATGGGTCAGATGAATGTTAGAAATGCACTCTCTTTGGTGAAATTAAAGGTATTCAGATGTGGGACGGAAAATGTTCCAGAGAGCCCTCCAACATGCCTGGACCTGGTTGAAGAATCCAGCCAGCCCTGTAGCAGGTGCTTGTAAGGCTTTATCCCCAAGCAAATGGTGTTGTCAGTCTGGGGATTTGGGGTAGCCTGAGGCTCTCAAGGAAGGTAATAGTAGAATCCTGTTTCTGGAACACCATACTTTCTCAATTGAGTAAACCTTTCGCCCAAAGGACAGAGAGCTGGGACTTCATCAAGCCCACGGAGGAGACTGTATGAAGTGGTTGGGGCTTGTTGGCTAGGTTTGTTTGGGGAAACTCTAGGTATGGCATCATTTGGGGTTAGTTGTTTTCACTGCAACCTGGCAGTGAGGTTGTTGGGAGAGGCTAACCATTGAAGTTCTTAGGTAGCTTCCAGAAAGTATCAGGAGTTGTGCAAAACCAAATTGGCTTATTTTAGTTGGCAATACCTGCCTTCCACTCTTTTTCACACTTCCTCTCGCCCGTCTCTTTCAGTCAGCCATTACATCTCTCCTACGTGCTTGCTCACCTTCTCCCTTGTCTGCTTTCTCCTGCATCCGGGGGTGCATGGTGGGTTGTTAAAAGACTGCCCCTGATGGAGTCACCAAGTCACTGGAGGGAGACACACCTTCCTGGCTGTGTTGAAAGAGGCTGCAAAGACAGGCCACCGAAAAATAGGCTCTTTCGTCAATGCTTAAAAATCAGGGAAGGGAACTTTTTATAGTAGTCATTGGCTAGGTTTCCTTTTACTCCAACTTTACAGTTTTCAAGATAAAATAACAGACCAAAACCCACATCCATAATTGCTTGTGGTACATCATGTTCTAGTCTCATGTATCATAAACCACGCAATTTTAGCTGTAACCACTGGAGGTCATTAGAGATCTTGTGGTATATTTTGAGGCTCATTAACATTAGGCCTGACATTTTTGTCACTGGAAATTGTATCCTTTGTCTGGTACCTGAATTCTTACTGTGGCACAAGGATATGGAACTAATCCGTTCGGTGGAATTACTTTGCTTTGTTCTGTAACAGCTATAAGTCTGCAGAGAGCTATACACCGTAGTTGCATGAAGCTATTATTCCATAGTCTGGACTGATGCTTTTAGAAGTTGTATGTCAATTTCTAGTCTCTAGAGCTGACATCCTGAACCCAGCTCTAATTTCTAGTGGTGGTTTGTTGTTGAACATCAATTAGTTCATTCTGCCAAGTCTGGATTAAGTCTTTCTTCTACAACTTCCTCTCCATCTCTTTGGGTCAGCCATGACTTCTCTCCTGCCAACATCTACAGAAACCATTTACTGATAGTCTAATCCAATTTGAGTTGTGCTTGATTTTTATTAAATCCAAAAGCCCAACTCATTTTATTTTTTAAAGTTAGTGCAAATTTCTTTTAAACACCTTTATTGAGATATAATTCACATACAATAAAATTCATCATTTAAAAGGTACAAAGTTCGTGGTATTTACAGAACTGTGCAACTATTACCACAATCTAAGTTTAGAACATTTTCATCACCCCAAAAAGAAACCTGCTACCCATTAGACGTAACTCTGCATCTCCATCCCCAGCACTGGGTAACCTCTAATCTACTTTCTGTTTCTATAAATTTGCCTTTTCTGGACTTTTCAAATAAATGCAGTCTTACAGTATGTGGTCTTTTGTGACTGGCTTGTCTCATGTATTATAATTTCGTTAAATAACAAAAGGCAACCAAGTATATGTAAAGATCGAATTGGCTTTATTAAATGGTTCATGAGGGCACCTGGGTGGCTCAGTCGGTGAAATGTCTGCCTTTGGCTCAGGTCATGCTCTCAGGGTCCTGGGATCAAGCCCCGAATCAGGCTCCCTGCTCCGCAGGGAGTCTGCTTCTCTCTCTCCCTCTGCTCCTCCCCCCTGCTCATGCTCTCTTCTCTCACTTTCAAAAATAAATAAAATCTTTAAAAAAATGTTCTCAAGTATCCAAAGCCTTCATAAAAAATATGCAATAAACATCATTATTAAATAAATAAATAAATCATTCATAAATCGGGAAACACCCCATCTAGCAAGTAGAGCTGCACTCTGAGAAGTTATACAAAACATAATGGAAGGAAAGTTTTTATGGATGGAGGGTGGGAGCAAGAAAGTTAGCAAAAGAAAAGGATTGTTCCAAACAAGGCTGTTTGCTAGGGGGAAAAGCAACGTGTCTTATCATGCAGATTACCTCATCTTTCTTTGGGGGATGGAAAGGACCTGGGTGAGATGGAAAGAAAAATGTTCCTGAATGACCGGTAAAGGCCCCATTTGTGGGGGAGGTTGAAACTGCAATTAGATTGTATTAAGCCTGGTTTGGCAACTCGGTCTAATGACACCATTTGGGGCCTGTGCTTTCCTTTTTTTTAAAACAATGTTCTCAAGGTTCATCCATTTTGTAACATGTATTAGTACTTCTTTCTTCTTTATTGTTAAGTAATAGTCCATGATATGGATATACCATATTTTATTTATCCATTCCTAAGTTGTTGGGCATTTGGGTTGTTTCCACATTTTGGCTACTGTGAATAAGCTGCTACGAACATCTGTGTGTATAGGTTTTGCTATATGGATGTCTTTATTTCTTTTAGGTCTGTACCCAGGAATGGAATTGCTGGGTCAAATAGTGACAGTGCAATCAACTTTTAATTATTAAACATTTCTTTTGAAACCTATTTATTCCTATAGTCCCTGTTCCTCCATCCCTGAATAAGGTGAATACATGAGAGAATTCAGCATTACTTGAATGTCTGAAATCTTTCTATCTAAGCTAGACTGTATTTGTGCAATCTGTGTTTTCAAGGCAGAGAAGTCATTGTTTAGATGTTTTGTCTTATAATTTCTGAATAATTTCATTTTAATTCAGGCAGTTATAGTTACAAAGCTTAACTAAGATATTGTGGTTTGGTTGGGACTGTGTTGTCACAGTTTTCTTTGAAGGTTTCTTCTTAATCTCCATGAGATATATTCCAATACCTAAGATTTTTCTTTTCTGTCCTATATTCCATATTATTAAGATTTATTTTTTTTAATTTATTATTATTATTTTGGTGGGGAGCAAAGCAAGGTTTATTGAGCACTAGTAAAGGTTATTGAATGATAGAGTACAAAGCTTTAAGATTTCTTAAATGGGGTTTTATGATATTTAAGACATTTTTCAAGGGTTCAGCTTCTTAAACCATAGCTCTGGCAAGCTCTTCCTCACCTTGACTTTGACGGGCCCTCTCCTGGGAAGGGCTTCTCTGTGCGTCTTTCACTCCCAGCAATTTTTACAAACGTCTAAGATGACATTTCCCCCAGCACATTATGCTTCTATGGCCACATGTCTAAATGACTCCACTAGTGTCATCCCCCTGCCCCTTGACCCGGCTGACTTTCCTGACTCCCTAAAGGAAACTGGCTGTTTGTGTGTCACTCCGAGAAACCCATGAGGAGTTTTCGTTGGTCTCCTAGCCACACTGGTGGGACCGGTTTCCAACTGCCCAGGCCCAGCAACAGGCAACGCCCCCCACGAAGGCCTTTGATTCCAGGGCTGGAGCTGTTCAAACCTGTAGCTTTCCCTGGTAGGTCCCTGGGGCAACACTCATGCAACTGTAAGCCCAAGACACAGATGGACTGTCTGCTCGAGTGTGTGTGTGTGTGTGTGTGTGTGTGTGTGTGTGTGTCAGGGGAGAGGGAGATCATGGAACCATGAAGGATTAGCTCTTGTCATCTGTCTCCATCACAGCCAACTAGAAATGGGGGGGGCGGGGCAGGAAAATCTACCGATCGATGTACACTTAAGAGAGAATCCCCAGCCACTCTTTCCAAGCAGCCCCGGGGAGAGCTCAGGGGAGGATGTCCATCTCAGTTGTGAACGGTGAGGAAATCTGGTGTACACATTTTTCAGAGACCATATGCCTCTGGGCTAATTTTGAATACAGAGCAGCTGTATCATGCTGAGTTCCCGAGCACCCACCTGAAAGGGGAATATTTGCATGTGGAGGCAGTGGACCACAGAGGGCCGTATTCGAACGCACCCTGGGTTCCTAAATATTCAAGATGAGTCTGGAAATCTGGGTCATCCTGACTCTTCGCTCTCCTCAGCCCCGTATTTTGGACATGCTTCTGTCCTTTCACACAGATCAGATGGTCACAGACAACCATAATTTGTCATTGGGGCAGTTTATTTAGAGATGGA